AAGGACAAACCGCCAAATAGGAGGTCGATATTACTGTTTCGGGCTTACGCATCAAATCTGATGAAGTGGACTGACGTTTTTACGACGAATGTGCTCAGGCTAAATTCTGCTTTGTGCTTACAAACAGTAAACATCTCATTTCGAAACTCGACAACACCATGAAACTCGCTGCAGCGAAAAATCCGGCAGCGTTTCTGTCACAGGAACATGGACACGCAAAATTTAAAATACAGCGTATTCCAATTATTGCGATGTATTTAGCTTCATCTACTCAAGGATTTTGTGATTTATCCTCATATACACGGATTATTGTTAAGACGTTGGTGTTCATCTTTCGGTGCGGAACGTTGGGTTATGTCCGATGTTGCCATCGACGCGGTTCGTCAGCAGCGCCTTGCAACTCCGATTCAACCTCTTACTTGCTTTTCCAACAAGTAATCGCCCTCCGAATCGTGCTGTAGCACATTAAGATGGAAATGTTTAGCCGTCTATCTCGCCATAAAAAATAATTCCGGCGTTTCCTTGAAGGCAAGGACTTAATTGCTTTCTCAGACCATAAGCCCCTTTCCGCCGAGCTCAAGGAGAATTCCGACATGCTGAGCCCTCGGGAGATCCACCAACTGTATCACATTTCTCAATTCACGTCGGACAACTACCACATTGACGGGTTACTGAATACAATAACTGCTGCTAACTCCAGGCCTTTTATCCCTTACCGCAAGCTTCCTCGTCGGATTGACCCAAAAGAGATTGTCCCAAAAGATACCATGTTTTTTCGCCCTGTGACGGGGATATTTTCAAATCCAGGACTTATTACTAACTACTAATAACGGCACCATTATATGCCACGTCTCCTTTGCATCCCATTGTCCCGTTGGGCACCATTCTTCCGCCTCAAAATATTATCCTCCTTCAACATTGGTCTCACTCTTCGAGTCAAAAATCCGGTGTCTAATCGCCTCGTCTAGCCTAGGACGAAGCAAATTCTAAAGACTTGAACCTGATCTTGTTTCGACTGTCAGCGTTTTCAGCTGCAGAAGCAAAAGGCCACCTCGACAGCTTTCCCGACCCTTGTGCAGGAATAAGCCGGTTCTAGGTCATTCACGTCTAGCGTTTTGAACACGTCGGGCTCATATTTGTCGTAACAGCATGATCATGAGGAAGTCCAAGACAAAACGACAGACGGCTGGATCAATGGTTTTCCGCCAGAGATTGAACAAGCTCTTGAATACAATATTAGTCAGAATTCTTACACAATCGGCGTTTATAATGTGCATGATTGACCCATTGTTGGTGGAGCGTGCAAGCTCGAAAATAAATAAAACGATGGCAAAGGTATAGCTATTTATTTGCATACCCATGTTTTTAGGAAGCAGCCATATAAACAGCGTAAGAAATATCGTCGTATAACTTTTTTCGTCTCCATATGCAAATATGATTGCATTTACCTTCATGTTTGCCAGGCTTTAGTCGTTCATGTTTCACATGTTGTTGGTTTTCCATTAAGCTGTTGGTCGCTTTTTACCAATAATCGCATTCAGGTTAGGTGTCGGAAACTCCAGAACAATATCGTGCGTTTTCTAAATAAAATCTACTAACTATAGCAAGCCAGTCGTACGAATTTGCATCCTTTACTATTTGGTTAGGTAACTTCCATGCGATTCCAGTTTCCCTGCATTTGAAAAGTCTGTGTGATAACGTCAATCTCATTCAGTGTGTATGACGATAGGCACCCACTAACAAGATATAAGTTTTAGACTCACTTACCGATTTATCAATCTTTATACAAAACACTTTGTAATATGTTCTTTACGTATTTGTTTGGATCAACATTGTTTTACTTTGCTATAAAACCACCACCCTCTTCAATATCCTCGATCTGATCGTGTTTTGCTTTTGCCAAGGTCTGTACATTTTGACTTGGTGAGTTACTTAAATTTAGCGTGCATATCAATCACTTGAAACTTTATGCGTTGCGGCCTTTAATTCGTCGTCAGAGCGCAGTTGGTCTGAAACTAGATGTTGTAAATCTGTGACGCAGCTTTCCTGATACCCTGTAGGGTATTATTTGCTAGCATAAGAATAAAGCCAAGCAGGTGCATCAGAAATCCAGTGCTGAAAAGCAGGCCACACTTTGGTTTGCTGCAATGGCAGCCCCCGTCCTCTTGTTTCCACCAGTCTGCGACAGCAGAAACTTTTTCGGCAGTTGCCGGTACC